CTCCAACCACCGCACAACACGCGCCCCTACGTTGTAAATAAAAATAGACGAGCAATCAAATGCAAACGAAAATGCATCACTTCGTTCTGCTGGTCCCGTCTTTACGACTTGCTCGTGATTTAGAAAACATTCACTTGGTTGGTGTTTTTGCAAATTTTCTTTTCCGAAGTCTCGAATCACATCAGAATGTCGTCGCCAACGCCATCTTTTGTGGGTGTGCACATACCACATGTGTACAAGCACCGTCTAACTCTCACCTCTTCCGACTTCTGAAATTCTCGTCATGACATATGGTCAACTTCGAAGGCTCGAATCAGGTAGTTCATCGAATTACAATTCGCCACATTTAAAAAGAGAACCATTTAATCTCTACCTTAACTTTCGATTCAGGCGATTAGTTAATTCGTCAAATTATATTAAAATTGCACTGAGTAAAATCGCTTTGTGCTAGCTGATAAAAACACCAACTTCTGCACGATGTGCGCAATGATGTATGCCCGGAAGAAACACAAGTTGTTACCACCGGACATTATCATTATATATCCACCATCAGTATCGTGTATAAAAGGGCATCACTGAGTGAGGATGCCTCATTCGGGAAGATGGCTCACTGAGGAAGACCTGGCTCGACACGAAGACGAAGCTGCAACGTCGAGACGAACAAGAATCATGGACCATCGACTCGGATCATCGGCTCTGAGGAAGACGAAGACGTCGAAACGTTAGCCGAAAATAAATATATTTATCAACCTCGTGCAAGCTTATCAAGAAAGAATATATATTAAAACACTTTTATTGAAATAAGTTTGAAACAAAAGGAAAGTGTAAGAGTTGCATCGATTTTCCACTGGTCTATTTAATGTTGCACTTAATGAATGTGTGGTGAAATCTCCTAGGAGTAAGAACTCACATAGCGCAACGAACACCGATGAGGAGCATATAAACGTCAGAGATCAACGTGCCGCACAAACGACAGCATTGCTCCAAGCAGGAAGCGAATTTATTCAGCTACCAACTTTTGGATACATTAAGAAACAAATTTGTCTTTTTCTGAAAGCATGTTCAAACTGTAACATGCAATTTACGAGCAATGCAACTTTCTAACAATTGCAAATACTCACCAGTAGGCTTCATTTAGGATTTAACCGACGCCATGCAGCATGACAGACTAACTCCCTTTGAATGCCTGCGCACCAGAAACAGTCAGGCTACTCAGCCACATAACCAACGAACGCGTGATTCTCTTCGTGTCCTCGAAGTGAGTAGGGCATAGGCAATTCTAACAACAAGCAAGACTCTGCACTACTGATTCCCTTGCAAGCTAATCATTACAGGAGATAGATGTGTAGAGTCTGAATACTCTCCGAACTACGATGTCAAAATCCTTCTCTTAATAGGGATCCTCTCAACGGTTTACCTCCTCATCGTGGCCAGGAGCTGTTCCTGGATGTCGGACTGCAATGCACAGCGGGCAATTCGTCCCCTGGCAGAGTCTCCCAAGCTGAGAAGGACCCTGGTCTTTCCATCAGGAAGCCTAGCTAGGATTAAACCAATACCAGGATCCACCACCGTCCTGGCATCAAAGTTGCGCGGTGGCAAATCTCCCTCTGATCCATGAGGGCTGCCTATGGTGGTGAAGACCTGGGACAGACTTTGGCTAGGCTAACCTCGAGATCCTATTTAACCACAATGGCATAACCCGCAAATCTCCGAAAAATGGGGATTATCCTGGGACCTGCATAACCAGTGATGGCGAGCCATTCATGTATCGAGTATCAAGTAATAGTGGGTAGGAAGAATGGTGGACATGAAATAAAAACCACTAAATTATTTTTCCACTGCGCTCGTCGATGCAAGGAAGCGAATTAAATCGAGAAAGTGCTAATATCTGCAGAGGAGGTGTGGATGAAGGGTCGTGTAATTTTATTGCAACTGTTATTTGTCAGCTAATAAACAATAATAACAATTTGCCTTTACCAATCTGTTTTGTATTGATTCAATCCGGTGACTCTCTTAGCGGTTTATTGCCTATGATGGCGAGCGAATATCCCAGTAGACCGAAATGTATGGAGTTTATGCCATCGGTTGGAAAATTCAAGTTTAAAACCTCACTTTATCCAATGGATTCGATGTTCCAACAAGATCTCAGCCATAAGTGAACTTCTGTCACCGCTAAAACTGGTCTGAAACTGTGAAACCTTCCTCCTGTGAACAACATCGCAGTGTGGTTTACGTCTTAGTTTAGAACGGCATGGTTTCTCGGAGCATCAATGAAACATTTTCGCCCAACCGCCAAGGTTCAGTCAAGTGGGAATGTTATTCTGCTTGCACGATCAATTCAAATTAATCGGCCATCGAAGCATCGTAGATAATTCCACCTGAAGCTTTCTGATTAATTAGAGTTAGGCTTTGATATCAGTTCATTGAGATAGTGGGGAATTTTGATAAGTAAAGAGAATAATCTTGTCAACAATCTTAAAACGTTTACCAACATGGTTTAATGCGTTGGCTTAAACCTTGTGGATGTCCATCTGGCCTTTCTAAATAGGCCATTAGCGAAAATCAAACCTAAGCAGGTTTTTCAATAGATCCTTGTGACTACGGTGTTTGCTTAGCGTGTGCAATGGCCATTAACCAGTGAAGGTCCGAATGCCGCCAATGACCAGCTTTCTTGCTTTTGCCCTAATTTTTGCACCATCCTGAAGAATTTCTGAACAGAAAAATTGGCCAAAAATCATTTTTGTTTTTAAACATATAGAAGAACCTGCCTCAAAAAAATTCAGCGATTCAAAAAATACGCAGTAATTTGTCGTGCAACTCCAAGTTATTATTAGTCATTATACTTCCACGTGATTTCTGTGCGGTTGGTCTCTACGTGACATACTTAGTGGAGACCTCATAGAAAGCGGCTCTGAAGAAGGCGAAATTCGCCGAAACGTCAGCTTAATCGTGAACAAAGAACAATAACACCTCGCGTTTGCTCAAAAAATACGAACAAAATCACTTGATCAATGCCGAGGTTAATAGAAATTCGGTCGTGGCAGTTACTCCAAGTTATTAAGTCTACGTCATTATGCTTTCAATAGTTTCTTGATCTTAATCACATTTGCACAAAAGACTTTTCGAAAATAGTGATTTTGCTAATGAAAGGTGAAAGCGTAATGCTAGGTGGATTACCAGGTATGCTTATCATTGCGCAGTGATGATTAGGGACGCCCTACACGTGGTCGTCGGCTCCATGTTCCATGGGAAGCGAGTCTTCCACCTCGTCTCTTTCGGTAGAAATAGGCGCCATACTTGTGTAGGAGGATAGTGACACCGATTTCATGCATAGGAAGGGCGCCGATCATTGTATAGGTCTGATATGCGTTCAGTCATTTCCACCTTACTCAGTGGTATCGAAAGCGTAGCGCATCTTGAGCGGTAAACACCCAGTATCTCTTATCCTGTACTTGAATTATGAATATCACATCGGCATAACAGACAAATATAAACGACAATATTGGATTTGCTGGAGGTATGAAGCGATTGAAGCGGTGTTACAAATTTTCCTTGTGGCTCCGTAATTTTTCGTAAGCTAAGTTTCAGAATTTTTATTGCAAACGACTGAATCGATTCAGAGAAATGAGATTTCTGATTTTTTTCCCGAACGAGTCCAAGAGTGACAAATCTAGACCTTCTAGAGGTTTCCGCACCTAAGATAACACCTTTTCTAGCTTCATCATTTAAAAGAACCCTTAACGCTCTTATGCTATCCTGATTATACATCTGTACGACCTGTTATGCAATTAATTATCGAGCGGCATCACTCAGTAACAGGTCCAAGAATGTCGAAGAATGTGCAACGCACAATCCACGTATATGCAGACACTCCAACAACTCTGGGTCCATATCTATGCCACTGTGTATCAAAACGTATAAGTGAAGGTAAGGCAGTGAAGATAAGGCCGAATGTCGAGTGAATCAACCTGGTAACAAGGGAGTAGCTACGTCGAGGCAAAACTGTACGATACGCACTTGTGGATCTGCCAAGCCTGGCGAATAATCGGATCGATGGCTCCCCTACTGGGGAAATTTGTCAAAATGTACAGCTATATTTAAGAAAATTTCAAAGATCCACGTCACATAACTTTTAGAAAATCTAATCACAATTATACTCACACGTTTAGTGTTGGGTTGGTTGTTTTTGCGTTCAACTCACTATATCCGCTCTTGCTGAGAATTCTCTGTCACATTCCATCGCTTTTGGGACAACGGCGATTGTAAAGAGAACGGTAATGAGGAGCAGAATTTCATTCAGCTGGTTCTAAATATATTCCTAGAGTGGGACATTTGCAAAAAGACGTTAGAGTATTGAAGTGTTGATGGCACACATAATTAACAATAACTGGCTTCACATTTCGTATATATGGTTCCTAAAGATTGTTGTAGACTATAACGTCACTACACTAAACGTGCCACTAGTTTTAGTATGGTCCGCAAGTTTAGAAATGAATAAAAAGAGAATAAGAATCTCCTTTATAGAGAAGGCTGCTAAGCATAAGAAAAACGGACACGTTGCATTATTTTGTTTGCGATTTCACTGACTCGCCAAGTGATAAAAAATGTCTGAGGTTTACGTTTGCTGGGTATTAAGCGCTGTAGCGATAGTGATGAAAACAACCGGTGGGCAAGAGCCGTTAGCGGCTGTATTACTCGGGATGTAAAACGTAAATTTTTCATTTTTCCCTGTCGCGTGCAAGAGTAGCTCAGTGGGTTCTGCTCGCTCTGGGGACTCGTCGAGCATCGCATCTTTCTTCTAGGCTCTTCGCGAAGAACTCCAACCATCGGCTGGGTGGTATTCCTACAGCACGTTTGACATCCCAAGAAACCCAGTCACTAACGGGTCTTATCCGTCGGTTGTAATTCATCCGCATTACGTGTCCGGTCCACTCTATCTTCGACTCATTAGCGTACAGAACGGCATCTTTGATTTTTAATCGTTGATGCAGGTCGGAGATTCAGATCCCATCCTTCACTTGTGTCAAACAGGGTACTCCTAGCATCGTCCTTTCGACGGCGCATTCGATAACGCTGAGCGACCCTTCAGCATGCTCACGCAGCGACCAAGTTCCTGACGCATACGTTAGCGCTGGAAGTACCTTTGAGTCGAAAAGGTGGCCACGGGGTCGGGTGTTCTTTGTTCTCTTCACTACATCCTCGATGCTCTTGAAAGCTCCCCAGGCCGTTCGTTCCCTTCGGCCGAACTCTGGAGCTAAGTCGTTTATCATGTTGATTTCTCGACCTAGATAGACATAACTGGAGCATTCGGAAATATTCATTCCGTAGAGTGTGAAAGGGGCATATGAAACCAATCCGTTCTTCATGAACATCGTTTTGGTGAGATTTAGTCAAAGAGCAAGCAGGCTTAATCAAAGTCGGCAAACATACGTTCCGTTTGGCTAACGTTTGGTGTTATAAGAACGATGTCATCAGCAAAACGCAGATGACGTAACTGCCGACCACCGATTTCCACACCCATATTATCCCATTCCAATGGTCGCATGACGTTCTGGAGGGTGGCGGTAAATAATTTTGGCGAAGTGATATCGCCTTGCCTAACCGCTCTTTTGACGTCAATGTTAATATCGTTGTAGATTGGTGATATCTTCATTGTGAATTTTTTGTACAGCTCACGAAGATTCTTTATCTACTGAGTAGGAACTCTTTGACTCTAAAGGGCATCCACGACTGCTTCTATCTCAACTGAGTCGAACGCCTTCTTCAAGTTCTTCAGGTGTTCGGATTTTATCCTGTCTGGACCTGTTCGGTTTTTCACCGACGAAAAAGGGTGTCGGATTTCGAAAAGGAGAACCGATGGTACAACATATCCATCCCACTTTATTTTATGTGACGGAAAGTAGACGTGGCTATCGGAGAGATCTGAGTAGTATTCGTGAATGATTTTCTCCATGGCCTTTCCCGAAGCTGTAACTGTTCCGTCTAAGCCTCGGAGTGCAGTGAACTCGGCCTTGTAATTTACGAAGCTTCGGTGGACTTTGCGAATGCTTTTCGCAGCTTTTGCAGCTTCGACTATTTCTGCTGCTCTTCTCTCTTCAAAATCTTCTTTTATCGACTATCTGCATTGTTTTGCAAGTTCGGACGTTAGTTTGCGGCTGCTTGCAGCTCGTGCGATTCCACGCTGGTGTATCACCTCGGGTATTTCTGGAGACAAACGCCTCTTGGTGACTTTCGAACTCTCAACTTTCATAGCGCTAACGTGAAGAGGTTGAATGAGCCAATCGTATTCTTCGTCGATGTTATCGTCAACGGCATCTTCCCAACATCCGACTAATGAATTGAATAAATCGCAGTTTACAGTGGTTTTGGGACTTCGGTTTTGGAATTTAGCGGCTTTTTCCCCTTCCTGCGAGAAATAGGATCTTTCACGAAGGAGACGATGGTCTGATCCCGTGTACAATTTCAGGACAATAGCGACATCAGTTAGGTAAAACCTTCTATTTATTGTGATGTGGTCTATTTCGTTATGGTGCTCTCCATTGGGAGATTCCCACGTCCAGCGCTGAGGGTGGGGCTTGTGGAATTACGAGTTACCATGGATTGTCTTGGACGCCATGATAAACTCAGATAGCCGCTCACCCTAACCGTTCCATTCTAATCCGTGGGTTCCAATGTGACGTTCTTCAGACATTCTTCTTGGTCCAATCTTGGCGTTGAAATCTCCAATGATGACTTTGATGAGTGTGTGGTTTTCTCTGTAGAACTTCTCCAAGTCCGTATAGAACGCTTCTTCTTCTTCGTCATAATTTGATGTCGGCGCGTAAACGACGAAGATTGTCAAAGACGAAATTGATTGACGTCTTCTTAATCGTAAACGTCCGATTCGGGTTGTAAGCTGTTCGAACGAATCGATGTTCATGGACAAACTCGTGTTGACGAGAACGCTGACGCCGCCGACTCCTGTACTGGCGCATGTTCCGAGGAGCAGTTGTTCTCCGGTGTCATAGACGGCCTTGAATGGGTGGGGTCGTCTCGTCTCGGCCAGGCCGATGACGTCGTACTTCATCCTTCATGCTTGCAAGAGCAAGTCTTCTATTGAGAACTCTGATGCAAGTGCACGTGCATTGTAGGTACAGTTCGCCACCATAGTTTTTTTGAAATCCAGGCAGCTTCCATTGGCCGTGAAAATTTAGCAGCCTCTCCGTATTCGTCCTTCCCAGCGCTGCGAAATTGGGGGCTCTTTCGAAGTCAGGGGAATGAGGCCCTTAATGTATTCCAATAAATTCGTAAAATTAGAGCTCAGGTAGTAACTTGGCAGCAGATTGACTTAAATTGATAAATCTGTACATTTTCACTCCTTCTCAATGAAAACCTGCCTACCTTTGAGGTTCGCTCAAACTGTTTTCCGATAATAAGTACAAAACAAACCAATAAAGTGTATGCCCATGTACCAAATATATTCTTGCAATAGTTTAGCAGAAGGAGGCCACTCTGTTGAATTGTTTCTTCAGACCGGATGAGAACAGTGCAAACTACTTGGCAAAGGATTGCAATCTTTCGTAACTTCCTCAGGTCTCAAAATTCTCATCGGTCATAGAGGCGACCTACGTCTTCATCTTCATTCCAATCCATGGGTCCCAATGTGACGTTATTCAGACGTTCTTCTTTTCCAGTCTCGGAGTTGAAATCTCCAATGATGGCCTTGAAAAATGTATGATCTTCTCTGCAGAACTTCTCCAAGTCCTTATAGAACACCTCGGCTTCTTCCTCGTCATAATTTGATGTCAGCGCCTAAACGACGAAGAAGGTCAAAGCCGGAATTGAACCACCTCTTTTTAATCGTAAACGTCCAATTCTGGTTGTTAGTTTTCGGAATGAATCAGTTTTCATGACCAAACTCGTGTTGACGAGAACGCCGACTCTACTGTCGCATATTATGAGGAACAGTCCTTCTCCGGTGTCATAAACGGTTTTGAATGGGTAGCATCTTCTCGCTTCGGCCAGGCCGATGACGTCCGATGACCCCATCTTGCCCTTCTTGCTTGCATCAGGAAGTCTTCTATCGAGGACTCGGATACAAGTGTACGTGCATTGTAGGTACAGATCGTCACCATAGTTCTTTGTAATCTAGACGGCTTCCATTAGCCCTGAGATTTTAGTACCCTCTCCGCATTCGGCCTACCCAACGCTGCGAAATTGGGGCTATTCGAGGTCAGAAGAATGAGCCCCGTTTTTTTTCTGTGTTTGGCATTTTTGATACCCACGTGTAACTTGCTGGGCTCTGAACGTGGAGCTGGGTGTACTCACGGGTGGCCTGCCATGTTCCCTCTGAGTGGACATGAGATTATTTGTTGGAAGCGACTCCTAACCGCCTCCCATATACTCCCTGTCACTTGATTGCAGGCTTTTGGAGGAACTGACTCGTAGAATACAATCCGGGGAAGCAAGAACGCATCCACACATGCATGCATGAATACGCCTAGCAAATACAGAAAGTACGTGCCAAATCGGCGCGGCAGAAACAGTGAGTCCATCCCCTGGATCCAACTGCGTCTCAGAGAACCAAAGGTCGCTTTGGTCCGCAATTAACCCCCTATACGCCACCTTGGGACGCACCACGTTGCCTCGCGACTAGCCGACCTATGAGGGCTCGAGATCCCTCATAGGAGGTAAATCCGTGGATAAGTGCGGATAGTCATGAAATTGCATGAACTATGCTGAAACTATGTGAATGTAAGCGACTCTCGAACTGCACGGGCTATGGTGAGAGTGTACGAAGGTGGACGGTCAAGAGATTATGAACCGTGTTGAGAGTGCATAAGTTTGACCAGTTCTCAGACTATGCCACTCTACTGGCGTTGTACTAGTGTGGCCTTAGGAGAGCAGATACTTAAACTTTTATTAAAGGACAACAGAAACGGTTGGAGTCCGTCACTAAAATCTACATTTGTTAATTTATACCAACTCGAAGGCTTACTAACCATGAAAACTTTGCTTCAGTAGAGTTAGACAACAGAAAATAAGCCCGAAGCGATGCATAGAGTGAACCAGTTGTTCTTTATGTTCTTTGCCATCAATGCATCAGAGAAGCTGCCATTTATTTCTTCTTATGGTCTTTACGCTTGTAGCGCACACCATTGTTGATTCGCTATTCGTACAACGTTCAATATTCTAGGTTTGAGTGACACTAAGAATCGACTGAAGATGAGGGTGCACAGATACTATTCTTCATAGCGCTTTATATTCTACAGAAGGGCTAACATAGATGATTGCTGTCTTAGGTATCTACTACAATTTCCCAATAGTTGCTAGAGTTACATGAAATGCTACCCGTAGAAAGTATAGAACGCCTGCAGCGCAGTGGTCGGAGGCGCCCTGCAATACACACGGGATCGATTTCCGTGCCACTGACCCCCAAGCCTTCCATGCCTCCGGGGTCGGTAAACTGGTGCCAGACTTGTCTGGAAGCATAGTAGCACTGTCTCGATACATCGGCAGGCCAGCGCGAGTCATTGCAAAGGCCAGATATGCATTCAGCCCCTTCCGAACGATGCTTAATCACGTCGAATGCATGGCGCATCCTAAGAGATTGATCATTGCCGAGAGTTTTGCCCTTCATCCTGTTCACACAGCATAGCTGGTTTAAAACTGTGTAATAATTACTAAACGAACTCATCTAGAGCGTGATGTTATGGTCGGGAAATATTGGATTTTATGGATCACACAGAATCGTGGACTTACTGCGAACTATTTGCAGAACACCAAAAATAGAACTGTTCTAAAATAATGGAAAAATGATGAAAAAATGGTGTGATTCACAACGTATCTTATCATGAAAACTACAGTAGGCAGAAAATATAAGGTCAGCACTGTTTTAAAATAATCGTATCATGGAAAGCTACCTAAAGTTAGATACATGGCAACATACACAAGAACAAGAAGAGAAGTGGCAATTTCTGAACGGATTTTGAAACAAATTTGCTCTTTGTAAAGAAAATGTGGAAGGATTTCATGATAGCGTCATTTGATTCAAAAAACAAAAGAGTTTCATAAGTAGTTATTCTAAAGCTGGTATTTCAAGAATTTCGTCGTAGTTGATTTCAAATAAGGAACGATGTGAATGCGACAGAGGAGGGTCGTAAATGGAAGTGTGAAGGTAAACGCTGTGTTGGTGAACATGAATGTGAATTTTCACTTGGGAAAAGCAAACCTCTTCTGTTCAAAAGCAACTGGGTAAGTTGGACGTTGCTGTGGCAGCGGTGTTTTCTTGATCGTGGAAACACTGCATAGGAAGGACCTGAGACAAATCGAGAGAAGAAATAAGAGATCGTTTACAAATACGTTTATTACAACGTAATTACTTTTTCATTTACTGATTTCATCCATTTAATCATTACCTCTCCCCTCTCAACCATCACACACCAAAAGAGCGCTTCTAAGAAATGTTTCGAACAGCCATAAGCACGTGCATGAGCAGAGAGAAAAGGAAGAATCCTCGAAACTAGCACTGCGAATAGACATTTCGAGTGGCCACGAAGCTGTAGCTTCTCGCATAGGCGTAGAGGAAAAACCACGCCCCTAAACCGTAATTCTAGCGAGAATAAGGCCCCTTTCATTTCCTCCTTTATTTAGAACGAAGCAAGTGCAACTATC